TATAACAGTGTTACCTCTTTGTCTTATGATGACACATTTTTATCCTGATGGGAGTGCTCTCTTCTAAAATCACATTGTCTCAATCAGTTTCTACCATGATCCAGTATCTCGTTATCTCCTCTTTAGTAAAAAAACAAAAACAAAACCCTATTTAAATATCCTTCTAAAAGTCATAAAGTGAGAGCTTATATGGATAACCATATTTCTGTTTCCTTACCTGTGCAGACATCAGTGATAATTCCATTATCCCGGGGTCAAAGGTTGCCAGCTAGAGCGTCTAAAGAAGGCGGTCTTTAAAGTAGAAGTCAGACCGCTGACAGCAAAGAAAATAAAAGGAGAAGAAAAACGAGTGCGAGGGCTTCAAAACGGCACTGCTGTGCTTCACTCAGTGTACTTGTGAATGCTTTTCATGCTTCACAGAAGAGTTCCTTCTCTCAATACATGTCTCTCTCTCCCCCTCGCTCTCTCTCTCTCTCTCTCTCTCTGCCTTTGTGGATGCGAATGTTGCACATAAAGCATGCTGATATGGCTTTGGCACTAAACTCCACGTCTTCCTGTTACAACTTACTTTGGATTGAACCCCATAATCCCAAAGGTGGATCTTTGAATTATGAATGTATTGCATGCATGTTTTTTTTTAACCCCATTATAAAAGAGTCACAGGCTGTGATTAAATCATGTAGATAATAAATATTTCCCCTATGTGTTATAGGATATTATTGTGTTATAGTGTCTCTTAAAAATGTATTTTTGGCTCTTTGGCTCTTTGGGTGAGGGAAACCTTTGACTATAAACAAAAGTTTCCATTTCTGGTTTGTGTTTAGTATCTTTTGAAATGCAGCACACATTTAAATATGCATTTACATGTTTTGAAAGGTCCTAAAACAAAGTTTAAAGTTTAAAAATTAAAAAAAAAGTTTAAAATAGTCTCTTAGAGGATTTCCTCTTTATGTTTTATATTGATTTAGGTAGGGTAACAATATCTTAAAGATTAAATAACTTTCCTGTTATTCAGTTCTTATTTTCAAACACTAAGTACTGATGACCATCCAGAAACAGCTAATTGTTTCCTGCTTTATATACCCCATGATTATTTCAGCAATAATGTTTTCACATCCAAATGTACCAGAGTGCAACAACAATAATTACACTACCTGGGACTCTGTGTGCTGTACAAAGAGATACTTTTTGATGATGATACAAATTGCCTCTGATGACTGTAGACCTCTATAGTACTTTGTGCCCTTTGCAGTGATTTTCAAATGCATGAGAAAATAGTCCCTGCTCTAACCCGTGTGTGTGTGTGTGTGTGTGTGTGTGTGTGTGTGTGTCATAATTTAGCGTGAGAAAATTACTCCACATTTATGTGCCCTGCATGTCCATGTGTAGGCCAGGCTGTTTCAGAGCTTTGTTGTGCAATACAGAGTTTGTCACAGTGCCTGAGGGCTGGTGACTCCAGCTGTCAGTGGAGAGAGTGAGACACAAAGTCAACTTAAACAAAAGAGTGACAAGTGAAATGTGTACGATTAGAGGGAGAGGAAGCAGATCCACAGATTGAATCAGTTCGCTGCCAAAATTAGTTTGTGTGCTCACATCATGTTTATCAGTTAAAACCCACAGGAAGAAATGTGGTTTTACTGGGTACATTTCTTTATCACACTTCCACGTCCAATCACTGTAAAACACAACTTTAACAAATACAATAAAAAAGACATCATAGCCACAATTTTTTTTCACATATTGTTTTTTTAATAAGGCTGTTGTGTGAATGGATGAATGAATGAATTAAAAGTGCTATATATATATATAATAAACACTGTGAAACCCCTAATATAGAGAGTAAGTTCTTTACATTTCTTTTAATCTTTTTAATATGTGCATAATCGTTTTTCATAGATTACACAAAATGAGGGAAATTATTTGACAATAGTATAGCGCTTTAAGAGTGATGCATTAAATGTGCGTCACTTGATTTATTTTATTTTATTTGCCACTTGGGGGCAGTAGAGTCGCTGCACAGTCTCTGAATGGTGTGACCCCCGCATCTTTTGTTCACTGTCGTGTAAGCAGCCACGGAACGCATTCTGGGGGCTGGGTGTTGGCTGTTCTTGATTCCTGTAAAGGCCAAGCTATTTTATGTAAATCATCTCCAATGCTGTGTCTGGAAACTCCCCAAATGCTTTTAAACTAATTGTATTTATCTGAATAAAAGTGAATAAAAGACAGATTTTTCTTTTGTCGTCAAACATTCTGAAGAACACATTTGCTGAATGATGTATGTAACGTAAAAGAAACCACTGATTAGCCCACGAAAAAGTATTATTCCAGTCAGACATAGCTGGGTGTTCTAGGAAAGGAAAGAAAGGAACGTCATCTTTTGAGATAATGCATAGTGACACATCCATCAAGTGTCGATCAAGCAAGAAGAGGTGTGTACAAAAACACCCATAAAATTACTGATACAGCTGATGAAATCTCATACGATGTTGGGCAGATAGGATATTATGTATATATGAGAACAAGCTACACACACTAGAGCTAAAATATTTAGTAACAGGTCATAAAACCAAAACTAAAATCTGAAACTAGCTAAAATAAACTTGTTCATAGACTCGAGTTGCACAAATATTTCAGAAATCTGCGAAAAACAATAGCAAAACTTGAAAGTTATTATGGTATTTATTAGTTATATAACAAATCCGAGCCATGCCGGAAAAGTCAAGCATATAGATATATGTAGGCATGTGTGTATGTGTGCCATGTATACAGGGTGGGCCATTTATATG